TTCCAGAGAACTCGGCTTGCGTTTTTTATATTTTTTAAACAAATTTTTGTATTTTTTTTTTTCCATCCATCCAGTCATCGTGGATCACGGTTCTCGTTACTCTCTGTACGTGCTGTTACATTTAAAAAACGAATAGGTGGTGCCTATTATAGTATTAACTACAATATGCACTCGATCCCCGTTTTCTTCTACCAACGAGACCAATAATTGGTGGCAGAGAAAGATCAGAGAGATTATTTTTCATAAAAATACGGATACCAGGGTTCTACGCCAGGGGTGCAAATTGTGCTTCAAAAGTGGTATTTTTATTCTACCTTGAAAAGCATATTTTTTATTATAGAGTATAATAATATCGAAAAAAACAAATAAACGTTCGCAAACTAAAGATATTACAACTGATATAGCAAATAAAATATCAATCGGGGTTTGTATAAAATTCTATTCGTGAAATTTGTGATAACAATTTTGAGGATTCATTAGAAAATGCAAAGAATACTGCTATCGAAATGGAAATGTCACCCGAATTTCTAGAAAAACGAAATAATAAGAAAAAAAAGAATGGTTGGGGAAGAAGCGGTAGATGCTGTTGAAATATCCGTCCAAACCAAAATCAAAAATGATTCTATGCTTGACTCTATCCTTTGGAGTTTAAAATGGCCATTTAAAAAATTGACCGCTTTAGCTAATGACTTTGAATTTTTATGCGGAAGGAAATTATCATTAATGGATTTTTATGAAACTAAAAAATCGACCAACGACTTGGCAATCAAATATACCAATGATCTCAGTGAATTCGAACTTTGCTCTGAAATGGAATGTTTTAAACACCAGGCTTCTGCTATGATGATCGATTTCAAAACGGCTACGCCGATTGATTTATTGAAACTAATTCATAAACAAAAAACTTACAAGATATTTATCCTATTATAGAAATAGCGTTAAGAAAATTTCCATCCCAGTGACAACTGCTAGTTGCGAAAGAAGTTTCAGTAAACTTAAACTAATAAAAAATTACTCGAGATCAACGATTGGACAAGAGAGATAACAAGCATGGCAATTTTATCCATAGAACACGAATTTGCTAGAAAAATTGTATATGAAGAAATGATCGATGAATTCGCCACAGCCTAAAGCGAGAAAAGCAAAATTTTCAAAGTTTAAAATGTTCATTTTAATAATAACTTCTTAAGGGGCGCTAGCGAGTCTTCCTACGCCACTGTCTAGAGCACACACACACACACAACCGATTGTCTTATCCTTTTTCTAATACAAATCACACGCTGCACTATCATTTGGGTATTATATGTTATAGTGTTTCCGGCTCCCACAGAGGCTATTTGGAAATTTATTTTTAAGACTACCTTTCTTTTGTGTCGATTTCCCGAGGATCGCGTTAAGACGTTGTTTTGTATGGACCGGATGGAATTGCCATCGTTGCTGGATCATATACGGAGATCAGCAGCGCCTTATATATATATATATATATATTATATATATATATATATATATTATACCATACATTATTATTATTATACAAACAAGAGGGTAACACATGGAGTGCGCGACAAAAGGCGCCTTTGTCTGAGCCGTTAAATATGCACGCTCCCGTTCAGTCGGAGACGGTTTAACTATGCACACGGGTACATAGGACAGGTATGGTGTAATGTAATTTATAATAATAATATTATAACACTGTTATACGTGAGCCGGCAATAATATAACGCTCCTGACACGACTCGGTGTGCAATTGAGTGCGCTACAAATTGGGCACACGCGCGACGACCCAGCAGATAATGAATATGAACGGTTTCATTGTGAAAGGTCGGAAAAAAAATGGGGGGGGGGGGAAAGAAATGCCCCTAAACTATTTCCTCGGCCGCGGGTAAAGGAGAGAGAGTACGATATGGATTTTCAACGAGGAGGACGATGGGTGTTGTTGTGCTTCAGCTGTGTACCACCGCCACCGGACAGACCACACCCGTGTGATCCAGTTCGCCCACGTGCCCGTGGAGATTTAATATATATATAGGTACAATAGAGAACACATAGTAATAGTTATGACGGTTAAATAAAAAAATTGTAAAAAAAAAAAATGCCATAAATACAGCGTTAAAAAAATTAAGGGCGAATCGCTCCGTTAAAATTAAAAACAAAATGTATTTAATTACTTATTGTAAAGATAAACTCAACCTAACAGAGACGAGAAAATTACAAAACTTTGTTATGAGTATCCACACTTCATGCAGATACATCAATGACATGGATATGTCTTGCTATCTAGTATTTCTTATAACTGGTTTTTTTTTTTAAAGAACCCTCCCCCCAAAAAAAACAACTAATAAGCTGGTTGTATCCCATTAATTTATACCTAGTAAGCGTTTTTTTTCTTTTTAATTGTTTTGATTTATAATTCATGATTTTTTTTGTAATGAATCAATACTATTATATATATGTTATATGACTGAAAATGTGTCAAAGAATATGCCATGTATACTTCAATGAGTAATTGATTAAAAATGATAAAAAAAAAACTTTGCATAAAAATATATTAACTAATAACATCAATATAATATGTACAAGACATTGAGACGGTTTTATACCAAATTTGTTGCTATTTATCATTATTATATTTTTGCGATTCGGTAATTAAATACAGTAATACATATAATTATTATAAAAATAGTTTGTAATATAAAACGATTTTTTTTATGTAATTTGTCTGGCCTAACCTAAGTGGATTGTTGGGTGCTAGGAATGTCAAAAATATTACCATTGTTTTATGGTCGAAATTTGTCCGGAAAACTATGTTAACCATTTAACTCCGTTTGTGCAAAATATAACATTCTAACCAAATCAATTGTACAAATATGTCAAATAAAATATGTTCACTGTGGTTCACTGTGTCTGCGAATATCGATTTGACCGAAAGGGAGGAAGCCAGTATAATAACACTTTTGTCAATTCCATTTGACTACAAATAATTCGCAATAATTGTGTGTGTGTTCTTTATACACATAGTTAGCTCTCTCGACGGTGTGGATAAAAGGACGGTGTGTCCGCTCTCTTGACTTCCGGGAAAACTCTTGTGTACTTAATAAAAAGGGCCGAGCTCGATTCGGTCAGAAATAGTCTCGAAAAAATGGCGCCTTTAGGTATTTTCAATGCAAAAAAAAAAACCCATAAACTTAACAAGGGCCTCCTTGAGTGTTCATAGAAACCTTTCTCCGGCATAATTGAAAACGAAAACACGTTTATGCACTTTCAAGTCGCCGACACGGACCCGCCCTTTAATTTTAGATTCTATTCCGGGCAAGTATGACAATGTCACACCGTAATTGTTAATTACAAAACACTTTTTTTCCATTTAATCAGAATGAAATAGACACCAATTAGATTAGAGGAGGAATAGAGTGGTCAGAGAGGCAAACCTACCCTCCTCTTGGAAACCACCATAAAGAGGGCGCGCCCCTGAATGTAAATAATTAAGCGAATCTTTTGGTATTTTACTTTTTAGTAGGTATTTAATTACTACTTGTAAAATTGCTCATTAAAACATATTGTCTTATCTCATCTTGTGACGTCTTATCAGTTATCATACTATCACATTATCATTTTGTCATACTATAAAATGTTCAGTTATCACCCTTATCAATTGATAAGGGTGATAACCGTGTGCAGTGTTTAACACAGCCTACAAGAGAACGTATTTATTTTTATCTAGAGTGGCCTTTGCATTATATTGAGATGTTACAGCTCTATTATGTATTCACTCTATGGTTTCAATTGATTGAATTTTGCCCATCGCCAACTGCGCCACTGTCTACTAATATTGTTGCTTTAAAAAACGTATGGTAAATAGCCGTTGTGTACGCTTTGAAAAGATTTAGGAATAATAATTTTTTTTTCCTCTAAACTATTTATACGCGATTATTTACTAAAAATATGTACATAAAATATTATACTAAACTCGACATTATTGTTGGTGTATTTCTCGGCGGTACTTGCTTCTTAATAGTTAATACTTGAAAAACTGTGATTTCTCCAAAGCCTTTATCGCGGTTCTTAATCGTGTTAATCGATGGCGTTTGATAAAAAAAAAACATATAACTACACCTATACTTTATATGTAAGTATTAACATTATAATGGTGTGTAAACAAAAGAAAAAACATGTAGGCATGAGTCAGACGTTTTGCCCGTCATCCGATCCGACGGCTTATAAAAAAACAACCGATAACTCAAAAAAGGAAAGAAAAAAAAATGAGTAACAATAATAATAATAATAAAAATATTTTAAAAAAAATAGAATGAAATCGATATTTCATTCTCGGCCGTGCTCTCGATAAGAGCAATGTAAATGGTGTTGACTAATAAAAAAATGTTGTCAACTCGGCGCAAAAATAATAGTACAATATTAGTATATTATACTCGAATAATAAATTATAATTATTACCTATGAATTTTTTTCAAAATTTGTTTTATTACAACCCGTTTTTTAACCATTTATTATTATAATATACACTCTTGACACCATATAATGCGTTAGCTAACAACAATTCGTTTAAATTTAACATCTGGTTAAATTAGCTAAGTTTCATCATAACATTATTATTGTTAACAAAATGTTAGTTGGGTTACCAAAGAGGTTACCTCGAATGCAACGTTCTCATTGGCTATCGCGAAATGTGATAACTGATAAGTGATAATATTATAATCGAATCTCAATTAGTAGCGTACATTTCGATCTATGGCACTTTAAGAAATCTCGACGCCAAACCCGATTTTCCCCGACTAGGTAGTCGTTAAATATAATCAACAATAAGTTAAATCCTCAACACAAATGTCGGTGAAATGTTTTTTTTTAATTCCACACGTTTGCGGGCAAAGTTTATTTCAGAAAACGTCAGCGTTTGAATATTTAACTTTCCCGCCAAAATCAATCGCCCCGCGTGTGTGTATATAAGACAATTTTTTTTCTTAACGTTTCTTTTTTCTCTCTAGCAGTACAACGGCAACAACAGGATACCCACGGCTTCGTCACCGGCCAACACCAACAACAGCAGTTCCAGTTCCAACACCAACGGCGGCACTTCTTTGCAATCTTCCAATCAGCCGACCACCAGCTCGCCGTCTTCGGAATGCCAGTCTGCCGCAACGGCCCAACAACAGCTGTCCAAGACAAATCTCTACATCCGCGGATTGAACCAGAACACCACCGACAAGGACTTGATCGCCATGTGTTCGCAGTGAGTACACTTGTGCATTATGACAAATCATAAGTTACTTGAACTTAAAAATTAAAAATAATTTATTCAAATTTCTGACAATAGTCGATGATAACACCGGTTTTAAACAAGTATTTTTTAAGTTATTCAAATTCAAAACTATACATTGATATCCGGTCGATGCTTTCAGCAAATGAATCATAATTTAAAAAAAATTTAAATGTTAATGATATAATATATATATATATGTATATTTACATTATCATTTAATTTTCAAAAATTGATACAACTCTAGAAAATGCTGGAAAAGATAAAAATTGGATTATCGTCAAAAAACCAACAAAACTGTAATTATTAGTTAAACTAGTGTAGAGCGTGAAAAGAATCTGTATAAAAAAATAATAGTTATTAATTTTAGTGTCAACAACTATTTGTAATCGATTTGAATTATTGGAAGTGTACACTTAAATAACTTTTAAGTGTTCCCAAAGTGTTAACCCTTTAAAAATGTTTGCTTCTTGTAAGTCTTACATTACTTTTTTAGACTTTTTTTTATTTTTCGTCACTTTTTAAGTCAATATATTTTAATAGCTTAAGTCTTTTTGGACTAAACAATTGTCAAATAATAGATTTTAAAATGATACTCATTTGAAACACATTAAAAAAATATATACATACTACCATTAAAATATTATTCTGTTCAAATCCGGTTGTTTTGAGGATAAGTTTTTTTAATAAAAAAGCAAGCTGATCAAATATTTGCTATAATTAACGTCATCTAACGTCGACCCGTTAAGTCACTACAAGCGTTATAATTTATCATTAGTTATTATTTTTTTTTTTTTGTCAATTCGACGGTAACGGTTTTGACTATTTCGACGGTTCTACGGGGAAAAAAATATTGTGCTGATATCGATTGCCAAAATGGGTTTGTTGTAAGCTATAAAAAGTCTAATGAACTGTTCGTGTGTAAATAATAAATCACGTGTCCACGTTTCCCAACGTTGTCAACGGTTATTGCCATGAAAATATTTTAACCTAAATAATATTCGAGAAAAAAAAATAGTTATTTGAAATATGTGTTACACATATTATTCGTTGTGTATTGTTTTTGAAATTTACATTTGCAAAACGCTCATCAAACTATGATAACAGCTATGATAACAATGACAGAGAAGTGAAAGGGAGGGGGGTGGGGAAGTTTTTGGATGACAGGGCTGGAAAACAGCGACTTACAAGTAGTTTATAATGTATTCACCGCCCAGAGACGACGATCATCATCCTTTTAAGCAAACGACAACAATCACAAACTTGTGTCTTGTCTGAGAAAAGGGTTAAGCCGCCCTCCCTTGTGTTTGTAAACACCAACAACAACAACGGTCGTTTATACCCTTGTAGATGATTTCACTGGAAATCATCATGCGCAACACTGGTGGAATAATAATTTAACACCAGTCAAGCTGTTGCTGCGACAAGTCCCCCCACACAGCAAAAATATACAATATATATATATATATATATACAAAGCGGTAACATCATAATAAATTACTTTGGACGATTTTTGAATTTTGAGAGCTGATTTTTGAGCTTTTTTTTAATAAAGTTTATTTTTATTTTTTCACACTTAAAAAAAAAACACGTGTGTACCAAGTCAGTTTTGACACTAAAATTTTAACCATTTTTTTTATTGTTATACAAGTTCAATGTAGTGTTAATAATTTGTACTAAACTGTTAACTTTTTTGTCGATGATTAATAATAACAATTTATAACGGACTTCGTATCTGCGACAGTGTAGCCAACCGCGATCAAGAAAATATCCCCATTTTGTCCAGTGTCATGAAATGTTATTTTTGATATTCTGGTCACACTGCAGCTGGCCTTTTCGCTTACTTTGTGACATTTTACACATATTGGAAGTCGGGATTACCAAATTAAAAAAAGCAACTATTATGTAAAAGTATGACCTTTTTGTATTTTTTTTTTTGACGTTTTTCAAAGGCCATATGTTGCCACCGTTTTGTCTGTGCAATAATAACAATATGGTCGACGGTATTATTTTTTTTTACTATCCTTATCGAATAAATACACAGTGACATTGGCTCGTGTTGCACATTAATAATAATAATTCTTCCAATCCGTCAGACCGGTGTAATCCAATGCCGACGCAATCCGACCATGGCTACTACATAGGTACTGTTGTACAGCAACCGTGTGCCCAGGCTTCTGTTGTACAGAGTTACATACGTTTTCACCACAGTACCTATATATATATATATACTTTTTTTATATTGTTATTACGGGTTTTTTTTTTTATCGAATAAATATCTTGTTACCCGCGCCAACAGGTTTTCGCCACGAGACTTTGAATTCAACGAAGAAAATGTTATAATAAAAAAAACTCTGTGCAAAACAAACACTAGACAAATTGTAAATCTAAAAATAATCATACATTTTTTGTTAAACAAAAAACACTCTTCTAGAGTTAGGCGTGGCATAGATCTAGATCGTCTAGGAATCACTAGATTTGTATTATTAAATTGTTGTGGGTTTTGTTGGATCTTTCTGGATAAAAAAAAATATATTCAACAAAATTCGTGTCCAATTGAGAGTAGGTCGTTTCAAAAACGACACAAGTCATTAAAAACTGAACCAAATTAATTCAGAAATTAAACTTGATTTGAACTTTCACTTTGACTTTTGCACTTATAAATGCATTTTCTAGTAAGCGTTCATCATTGCAAATAGTTAATAAATAGTCTACATTTGAAAATAGAATAGTAATTTATTATGTACAAATTATTGTAAAAAGAAAAGTACATTTGTATAGGTAACAGTTGACAGTTTTTTTAAATTTAATTACCATTAATATAACTAAGCAGACAGTTAGTGGCTAATCTAAAGCGGTTGAATTAACTAATTTTGTCAAAAATTTGTTTGAAATGACTGATTCAATTTTTTCACCTAATATTTTGGGTTAATTATAATTTTTTTTGTAAATCAAAATGGTTATGTCTAGTAAAAAAACGTTTCCTAATGCAATTCTCTGAAAAAAATGAATAATGTGTAATATAATTTTTGAATAGTTTTCGACCAAAACAAAATAACTTAATTAATTGTAATTCATCATTTTGGATTGGAATTGTATAAATTCTCAGTTTAAAAAAAATAAACCACAGTAGAAAGTATGATGATTATGTTTCATATTTAAGTGTTTGTCAAAGTTACAATGTGTTTTGACCAAAACTGTCTGGTGGTATACCTAACCTATAGTACACAATGTGGTATTTTCTTCGAGGAAAATATTTTTATTTTTGATGTTGAATATGTTTTTTTTTTGTTTTTATTTACAGATACGGAAACATCATTTCGACCAAAGCGATATTGGACAAGAACACCAACAAGTGTACGGATCTCATGCGTTAACTATGACTTTATTACTTTTTTTTTTTTCCTTTATAAGACCAATATAATTTTTTTTTTGAATTTATCATCTATGTTTACCCTTGTCCGCAGGCTACGGTTTTGTTGACTTTGAGTCGGGCACGTGCGCCGATGCCGCCGTCAAAGGTCTTCAGGCCAAAGGGGTCCAAGCCCAAATGGCTAAAGTGGGTATTCCAGTCCAGCGTAGAGCGGCCACTGTACGTTTGTTGCATGGATTACATTACACTTTTATTAAAAAAAAACCAAAAAAAAAAAAAAAACATACCTCTTATGGTTTTTTTTTTCGCTGTCAAACAGTATTCGTACGACTTTCCACTTTAATATTATCTTCTCAACACTTTGTGTGTTTTTAGTTTTTGTGTTCCTATATACCTTTTTCTATGTGTCTTGTACCGTGTTTTGTGTGCGGCTTGTGTGCTTGTGCAAAACCCAATTCCAAACCAGTAGGTACGCGATTTTCTCGGTTTTTTGCTGACAACAATATTACATGTTAGGAAGACACTCACTTGCCCCACCCAATGTCCAAGAATGACCGCCGAACCAAAGGAATAGTACAACATAGTATGTTATATTGCTCGAACTGTGTTGAAAATATGTGGACCAACCCCAAATCAATGAGGTTTTGAACGGTTAAACCACACGAACCTAGTCCACCAGTCAAATCCTCTGTTTTTCCAATCCAAAAATATCCATCAAATCTTAACCCGAACAGCCCTTTCGGTAAACTCAACTCTAAACCAAACTTTAAGTATTCCGTCATAAACCTACTTTGTCGCGAGCTGTCTTCAACGTACACACACACACACGGTTATATTTATTATAACAAAAACCATCAGTCATCGTGTCGTGTACAATGCTGTTTTGTCGTTGAATTATTATTGTTAAACATTGTGCTTGCCTTTGCCTGATGTGTGTGTATCGATCATGGTACAATATTATATACACACACAAATTCGCCGATATGAGCTGGTGGTTATTGTTGTCGTTTTGATTGACTAATCTCGACCAATATTCCCTTGTCCCAAACAACAACGGTAATATATTATCTTTCTGTACTGGAGCGGTAGTATCGTTGAACCAGAGCAAACATTTGTAAAACGGCGTGTAATGTCATGTTAGATAACATTTTCTTCAAATAGTACCGCCTTGCTGTACATCCGTTCTCTTTTGAAATAGCAAAAAACCAATGGTAGATCTGTGCCTATCTGACTCCTACCCTGTGCTGACTTATTTTTTTGGTGACGAATATTAGCAGAAAAAAAAAACACCTGACATAACGTCACGAAATTGTTATTATTTTTTTCAATTGAATTTTTAACACAATATTCCCCTCTTGGTGGCCTTTTCTCCTGGGCTCTTCAATTGGGGCGTTTTTTTTCCCCCCAAAGCGAAAACCCATTCAAGCGAACCGCCATTAGTATTGTTATCGTGCTTCCGCACTTGGAGTTATTTTTTTTTTTTTCTGTCGTACTCCTCTTCTATTCTTCGGAAATATCATTTCGCGGATGTTTGTTCGGGAAATCGTTTGCCGGTTGAGTACCTGTTTTGTTTGTATGCTAATACCGAGGAACGACACCGTGGCAGACTTTCACGATAAATCCCCCAAGACACGATAATAATACCCTTGGGGTTAGGGTAAAGAGCAAACGGCTATAAGCGGCGCTCAAAAGAACATTATTTCGCCAGTTGCTGCAATGCAGTTTATCGAGTAGATCTGAAAAAATCGAGGAAGAGACGGATGATGTGTTATGCTTAGCAAGCTTACTCTACTTGGAGTAGAGAAGTTTAATTTTATCTAGGAATAGACTCAAGGGTGGACTCGGGAATAAAAAAAAGAGGGAGGTTAGACAAATTTCACTTCAAATTATAGTCGCAGAGTGAAAAGTTGAGATTGTAAAAAGATACATCATTCCCTCTGCATTGTTGTGAACATGAATGTAGCGGAAAAGACAGGAAGAGAAAAGATGGATGGAGGGAATAGAGAGTGATGTAGAGAGGATAGCTGGGGCGATTGAAAGAGATGTAGGAGATCTATGGAGGTGTAGGACTAGGGTGGTCGACCCTAAGTAGTTGGGAGTGTTAGAAAAAGAGAAGGGGACTTCAGCAGACATAGTGAGCAAGTAAAAAGGGAAGAGAGATTTTTTCACGTAGAGAAATTTTCGAGAACCGAAGGCGAAGCTTTAAAAATACAGACGACGGAGACGTGTGTGGACCGGACAAAGGAAAGGTACTATCTAGATTTATTCGAATTGAGAGATGGCTTAAGATGACAAAGACCCGACCCGACCTCGGTTCGGTGTGACTGGCGAAAATGTCTGAAGTCATGTACGTGACGACATTAGAACAACAAAATCCGAGCAATTTTTCTTCGCTATTTCTTCGGTCCGACAGTCATGCGGGACAGACGTAAAAGCTCTTAATTTGACAAATGGGTTTTCACTTTTCCCAAAAGCGTGGGTGGATGGATCTGTGAAATTGGACACTGGCTGTACATCAGAAATTGCTGCCTGCCGCCGGCCACTGCAATAAATAGACCAGAACAGCAGCAGCAGCGGGTGGTGGCAAACGAAATAAACTACAATTTTTATTGACACGCTGCGAAAATCAATAAACAACGCTCGTTTTGCCCTTTGTACTACACCAGTCAAATTTATCTGGTGAAAAAAAACTATACATCTTGCACCAGCTGTCACCGTGTGCTGCGTGATTGGTAGCGGCGAATAGGAAGTTTTCTAATAGATCAAACAACACACACACGAGATAAACTCGGTTAACTGGATTTAAAACAAATTCTGTAAATCGTGTTTTAAAATTTTATCTGTTGTTAAAAATGTATATTGTGTAGTTAAATTTCGTTATCAATGTTTTGCGATATCAGTTTATCATTGATAAGACCCTGTATGATATTTAATATCATAACTCAGCTGCCGCTGATACCATTTATTCGATAACCAGTACACTGGTAATAACCTGAACATAAAAACAACGATTGAGCAACACTCGTAAATTAAACACAATATGTAAATTTAACAAAAGATAAAGTTTAACAAAAGTTAGCAATGGTCTCAAAAATATATAACTCCGTCGTCGTCTTGCACATAAAATGGTTTTATCCGTTTGCATATTTTTTTTGTATTATCTACTAATAGCACGAAACTGCGTACTCGCCCCACTGTTCGTTTGGCGTTTACCGGAAATTTGATTTTCAACAAAAATAATACCGTTTTTTGAAAATTGTGTTTTTGTTTTATACCTACTACTACTTACCCGTCGGTCGAGTTTGACGGCCTACGATTTTGTGTTGTCGTTTGCTGTTTGCTATCATGTGTGTAATTTTTACATTTTGTTTTTGTTTTACCAGCTCTCCCTACTTGATCACATTGTCGTTTTGCATACGAATGGTGTGTTACCTTGTATAATAATATTGACAATAATAACATCTAACCCCTAACCTTATTACCGGATAGTTCTGTCGCGGATCGAACACATACTATATAATCCGGCAGTGTTGCCAGTTGCGACGAATTTCGATTCTATCGCCCGGCCACACTGATTACTGCAAAATAATTTTACAACCGTCGTCTGTTGTATGTATTGGGTTTTTTTCTTTATAATTTGTTGATTTCGAAAATGTCAATACACACACACACACACACACGGGTCAAGACCGAAATGGACAAGAACGTTTTGTTTTTATTATAACGATAACGAATTAAATATTATTATTCGTTCGATGTGGGTGGTGTTACTGTTTGACTGTAAAAAAAATATACGATATTTATAATATAATAAAAGTTCTATGGGGATTTACATATTGTTGTGTATTGTTTGTGTGATTAGCAACAAGAACAGGACCCGACAAACTTGTACATAGCCAACCTGCCGCCGAATTTCAAAGAAAACGACTTGGACACTTTGCTGTCGAAATTTGGACAAGTGGTGTCCACCAGGATCCTTCGCGACACGAACATGACCAGCAAAGGCGTCGGATTTGCCAGGTAAGTTTTCCTCGCTTATCACTAGTCGGCCTTTTGAAAAATATTTGAAAAAAATATATACAAAAGTCAAAGATCATCACAAAAATGTATTTTTAAACAGCCACATCGAAAAGTGAGGTTAGGTTTTTGTCACTTTAAAATGAGTTGAGGTCAAGGCATTGCCAATCTTATTGGGTTTTCTATCAAATCCTCTCTTTCTCGGTCTATCTCTTAACCGTTACTGTGTTCACTCCCTGCATGTCCAATTTCTACGTTTAAAAGCCACAGACTGACACACCTTTACCATCGCCTCTTTCTTTCTAATCCGACCACATACTTAATTCTACTTGCCACTTAAGTTGTTCCATTCATCCACACAACCGATCTCAAGTTGTGTTCTAAACTGATTTTCTATCCTGTTTACCACTCAGCTTTATTACATGGATGTGTATTATCCCCTTTTATGGCCCAATACGGTTTCTTCCACCATATCTCCTTCCAAAGGTTCTCCTCGCAATTGTAGGTACTTTCAATTGTTCCAAGTATATACATACCGCGTTTGTAGTGGGTCCTGCTATTGTTGTTAAGCCGTTTCCTCTCAGCCGGCTTAAAAGTGGTTTCGAAGAGGATTACTGATTTTTTTTTGTTTTGTTGTGTATTGTCCAAAGGATGGATTCCAAAGAGAAGTGTGAACAAATCATTCAGATGTTCAACGGTAATCCATTGCCCGGATCAAAAGAGCCTTTGCTCGTCAAGTTCGCCGACAGCGGTCAGAAGAAAAGAAACACCAACTACAGGTCGGACTCTCGTTTGTGGAGAGAAAACGAGGTAAGACGTTTCTTTTTTTTAAATTTATTTTTATTTTATTGACTCTTCATCCGGCCCCGTCGTTGATCGCACGTTTCTAAAGTCAATGGTGTGCCCAAAAGGAGGGGGTATTGGAGGAGATGTCCCCCTATTAGATGGTTATTTTTAAAAATGTATTAAAGTATAGGACATTTTCAAGAGGTCTGAACTCCCACCCCACCCCAAAAAAGAATAAATTAATCGAACAAGCCGGAAAATTATAATTACAATTAATAAACAACTAATATTAATCAAACTATAAACACTTTTATTTATTTGTTCATTCATCTTATTTAGATACATTTTTTATTTCACATTATGAATGTATAGACAATTATAAAATCTGTATCGAATAAAATATCCAAATTAAAAACCAGAATTTCTTATATTGCGTTCACGTGTAAGGCTTATAACACTGTAAACTGATAAGAGAAAAATAGCTGATCGGTCAATCAATTTAAACCAATAAGAACGCCGCCCGTTATGGTGCCATTTTTTATTTTGCGTCTGAAAATGTTAGGAAGATGGGGTAGATATGCAATAACCTGGTATATTTAAATCACGGTTTTACACCATACAAATGCACAAGTGGCGTCCTCTTGCGGTTGTTTTCGTTACTATTATTATTTAATATGTTTCATTTGAGATTTATTTGATCTATTGTATTATATTTTGTGTGTTAAACCAATTTTTATTTGTATTTAATTGTTTGTGTGTGTGTGTGTTTGTGTGTACGTGACAGAACGGCGGATGTGTGCGCTTTCCCGTACAGCACTATATGTTGCAGGGCTCCCACGTCGGCTACGACGGCGGCCATTCCGGCAGCACCCCCGGCGCCCACGTGCTGCCCACCGCGCTGGCCCAGTACGTCGGCCGCCATTACGCCACCCAGGCGCTGCCGGCCCACGGGTATTCCATACCGGCGTCCACGTGGGTGCCGCAGTACGTGATGCAACCGGCCCCTCCGCACCATCTGGCCCAAATAGACGTGAGTAATCATAATCAGTAAAGTAATCACCGCGATTACATTAATCATTCAATTGTAATCATGATTGACAGTTACTACAATAATCATTACTTAATAATATTAAGATTTTACCTATGTAAAAAAACTATAAAAATATAACTACAATTATTACACAGTTAATATGTCACACAAACAGTAAACTTGTATAACAGATTACTTACTTTGGACTTAAGCTAGATGTACTTATATGATACTTGAAATTCATTAGAAACCTAAAACTTTGGGTATGTTAGTGGAAGGGGCTGGAGATAATAACATCTGTCAACTGATTTAAACAATTCGGTCAAACCTATGTAAGCACTGCTTGCTGAAGTAGTAACTACAAAGTAGCTTTATGAAGTTTAAATAACCGGTAATCCGGATTTTTATTCAAAGCAAGATTACAGTTTCTTAAGGTCAAACTTTGGAATCGAATTTCGAAATTTATTAAAACCTCTTTTTTCTTGCTTAAATATTGCCCATACAAAAAGCCTTAAAAAAAACCGACCACTAGCAACAATCCCCTCATAATTTACATAAAAATCTACATCAGACATTTTTTTCCAAAACCAGTATTCAATTTTTTATTTTTTTTTCACCCTCAAGTTTAGAGTGTGTAACTGTGTCTGTTTTTTTTTTAATTTTATTTTGTGCTAAAACGATGATGACATCAAATTAAAAAAAAAAAATCCTCTGTAATGGTTTTGTTCAAGAGCCCTGTATGTTGCCAGATGATTCAACAGCCAGATCCCAATTCCGTGCAATACGGTTCGGTCATACCGCAGCTGGCCACACACATGTCCGCCTTGCAGATCGGCAACGGACCGGTGAGTAGTGCGGACAATGTTGTTATTAGAATAAATATATAAAAATATATGTGTACAATACACATATGTATATTATATAATCAAAACAAGTCAAATTAACCCTTCACTGGCATATATATGCATTAGGCATTATTTATATTGATATACATGTGTGCTATCTGTCGGAAAACTTGCTGAACTATCTATTTTCAAAACCATTTTTTACCAACAGAGTGCAGTGAACACATTAAAATGGAATATATTTGTTTATTATAGTATTAACCATTGGTAATTTGTTCATAAAAACCAATAAAATTCATGCAGTGAAGGGTTGAAATTAGTTAAAAACCGATCCACAGTCGATTAACACATAACGTTGTTTCGTTTGATCTTTGCAGTTTGTGCCGCATCCGGGTTATCCGTACTACACGAGCACCGCACCGAACATCATCCACGCTCTTCCGATACCGGCCGATGATCATCCGTCCGCTACCGCATCTCCGGACGACTCCTATCAACATTACTCGCACAAATAAGAAGAAGAAGAAGAAGAAGGAAACTTAGCCGAACGATATTCTGACCGACAAAATAAACCCCAGCCCCCCCTCCCAAAAAAATGTTTTACATTATTTCCCCACAACGTGTTTTATAATGATTGTTTCCAATTTTTTTGTTTTTCCCATAATTTTGCTAATGATATCCAAAAAAAAAAAAATGTGTTATAATCAAGTTGAAAACGAATAAGTCGTAAGTCGCGGTTGAGTTAAATTTGTTTCATTAAAAAAAAAAATCCAAGAGAAAGAAACCGAATTTGGAAAAACCGCAACCCAAACGTTTTTTGTTCTTTAAAAAAATAATAATAATCCGTCTCAAGACATGATTATTATTTTTTTAGAGAACAAAAAACGGTTTTGGTTGCGTTTAATTTAAAGCAAAGCAAAGCAATTCTAAAAGTAACTAATTATTATACAAGTATTTACTTTTAGATTGTTAAAATAAAAGAAAATTAACCGAATCGCGATGAAACACATTGTACAATTTTGCCCCGTAAACAAAATTTTTCAAAGAAAAAAAAAACCAAAATTCTATCGAGTTAATCCATCCGCTGTGGGTTTTGTAATTAAATTGATTGAATTTTCTATCGTTATTTATATATAATTTCACGTTGCCTCTTCTGACGACCGGTCGCTCTCAACCGACTAGACGCAACTTGTTTTTTTTTGGAATTTTTGTTTTTTTTTTTTTTTTAATCATATTTTATTTATTGGTAATTACCAATTGGCGCCGCGACCAAGACCACCAAGATTGTTACGGTAAAAACCTCCTCGTCGAGTTCCAGACGCGTAGTTTACGCGTAAACACAATCGATACACGGTTTACGCTTAAACTGCGTTGTCGTACGAACGGAGGATTTTAACGTAACAATTGTTGGCAAGTAAAATAAAATATATATTATAAAAAATAAATCACAACTACTTTTTTTTTAATAATATAATAATTGAAACACAAACCGTTTGATACGATGATGAGCTTTAACAATAATACGTAATAATCGAAATGCGAATAAAATATAAACTGAAAAAAATGTTTTCTCGGCAAAAAAACAATGTATGTAAAAATGGCTGATTTGTTTCATCGACAGATTTACATATTTTATGTTAACACATTATATTAAACAATTTAACTTGGAAAAAAAAAATTGTTACAAAAAACCGTCGCGTTCAATTTGACATTCGGCTAAATAATGTCGGCTAAGTTAACGGCGAATGAAAAAATTAAAAAAAAAAAAAAAGAAGATATATTTTAAAAGAAAAATTTAAAAGGTTTTTTTTTAACATTACGCAAATGTAATAATAAATAATTTTATTATGAGATTTTAATTTGTTTTACCGTCGGTTCGGTTTTTCTCGTGAAATTTTTTATCCGAAACGATTGGGTTCGATTATTATGATTTTTCGTTTAAGTATTTAATTTTAATGTTAAATTTCTTAGTTGGAATAAAAAAAAAAACAAGCAAAATCTGTCGATTTTTCGATTTTTAAAATATATATATTTTTTATTTATTATTATTATTATTTGGGAGTTTTTTTTTTAAGTGATTTGATAAATAATAATAATGAGTTGAATTTTTTTTTATTTATCGTTTGTCGTTTTAAGTATAATATGTTTTTTTTAGAAATTAAGAAAAAATATTTCGTTATATTTTAAAATATGAGATTTGTAATTGTTTTTTTTTTTTTTTTTTATATAATTTATAATTCTAAGGCAAAAGAAGAGTGTATAACTTTTACACTTGTCCGATATGATCGTTTGTGGGTGTGTGAAAACATTAATATTAAAAAAAAAAAAACCAAAAAAAAAAGAAAAGTCCATTGGCCCGAAGGTATCGTCTCAAAATGGAGATTCGATAAAATTATAATAATAATACTAAAACATTTGATTAACGTAAAACGATTCTTCGATTGAATTGTTTTTTTTTTTTTTTTAAATTAAGACGTAATTTTTAAACGCGACGAACGATGAGATTTAGTTAAATGTAACAACGTTAACACACATTAACGGTGTGTGTTTTTATAAATTAAGATTGAAAAAATTTTGTGCATTAATTAAGCTAATATTTATATTATGATAAAATTTAATAGATTTAACAAACACCTCTATTATTTGCGTTGGCAATTATTATTCGGTAGGATTAAATTTGTACCATTTAAGTAAGTCGCTTCGCTTTACAACAAACAGTTTACGCAATAAAAATTGATAAAATGATTAATATTGAGCGTCGTTAAAAGCATATAAAATAAAGTAGTTTTGTTACATTTTATTAAGTAGCAACTAATTATTTTCCGATCGTCAACAAACGGCTGTTTTTTCTATCCGACGACTAAACTGCTGCCGTCAGCGTGACCGTGCTTCGGATTTATTATTGATTTCTATTTTCTTATTATTTTTTTTCACCCCGTTTTGAATAAATTTGTAAAAATTTGTTCACACACAACAAATAGGTATTTTTTGTGTTTTTTTTTTTAAGGTTTATGTTTTTTAGTTTTGAATATTATTTCATTTTTTTTTTTTTTTTTATTCATATTTTATTTATTTGGTTATATTTTGTTTGTTTGTTTGTTTGATTGATTTTTTAACGAACGAGTTTATGTTTTTCGACGCGTGAAATTTTAATAGGAAAATGTTTTTTTTTAGTTTTTAGTTTGTAGTTTATTATTATATTTTATTGTATTTTTATTTTAATTGTATTTTTATTATTTTTTTGGTTTGTCTTAAATATTATATTTTCTCGTTAAAAAAAAAATAATTTCACAATACAACCGTATCGTGGTGTGCAACGCACGCTCGTTTGTTTCCGAAAAACCAAATTTACACAACCTAATTAATTAATTATTATTTACTTGAATTTTGTGTATAGGCCGAAAATAATATAACAACAACAATATGTCTTACATTGAAGGTATATATTTATATGTATTTTTTATTTATTTATTTATTTATTATTTTTATATATTTTTTTTTTTTTGCACGGTTCCGTTTGGGTCATTGCGAACGACCGACTCCCATAGAAACATCGTATTGGTTACCATTTAGTAGGGCTTTTTTTTTATGATTATTATTATTCAGTGTATATAAAATAGTACCCTCGATTAGTAGATGGAATTAAAACAAAAAAAAAAAAAACATTTATATATAATATATGTTCGCATAATATATTATAAATATAAAAAAACAGTGTAGCGTAGGATAGTATCAAATGTAACAATGGAACGTGTGTATATGTTGGGAAAGAGTGGGGGAAAATTTCGATATTTTAAAAATAACTGTAATAAGTCATTTGGAAAAATCCATTTTCAAGAAACGTTTGGCCGTCAGAATTTCTATTGAAACACATTTTCTGACGTCGACCGGCTTTGTGTGTTTTTAAAATATTGAAATTTTTCTCGCCTACACTTAACGGGGTCGGGTTAGGAATTTTTTTTTTTAGCAATTATTTTTCAAATTCAATTTTAAAACACCGTTTTTTTTTAGCACTTTTAGCCGATTCGTTTTAGACTTTTTCAATTATTATCTTTCGCATCTGGAAATAACAATATTATTATTGTTCCGTAGCGGCTTTTTTAGCGGGTAGTTAAAAATTTTTTTTTGCAAATTTCATTAAGGTTTAAACGATTAGATTTAATTATTTTTTTTTGTGTAAATATTATGTTTAAAATTTAATTTAAAAAAGAAAAGTATCGTCGTTTTTCGACGCGACCTAAAAACGCTTTTGAGTTTCCCAAAGATAGTGAACTTAAAAAAAACGTCGTCTCCAACGTCGTTTCTTTTACGGTGGAACTAATCTAATGTTTTTTTTTTTTTTTTATATTTAACAACTCGATAACGTTAGGATATTATGAAAATAATTATAATTAAATTACTTTTATCTATTGTAATTGTATAAATATGTCGCCGTCGTTTATTTTGTGTACGATTGCCGTGTGTTGGACGATTAATTAAGTTTTCTTCGAGAAATCCGTAACGTTTCTATTCTTCAATAAAATAGAAAATAATAATGTTAATAAACAAACAAATATTTAAACGTGTACGTACGTTACGCTGTTACGACTGTTCGAAAATATTACAGGGGTATTTTATTATTTTTTTTTTTTGTATACCTATCGTGTCCCGTCTGTAAGTACGTTTGTTTTTATCGAACCGACAAAAAATATAATATATATATATATTTATAATATAAAGGATTAGAAAAAAAAAAGTATGTATGTGTATGTGTGTGTTTTTTTTGATATTGTGATATTATCGGTTGGCACGTGCCGGTGTCTTTCGGCCGACACTGTTCTATACACTGGGTTAGGTATTTTTAATTTTATTTTAAAAAAAGAGTTTTTTTTTTCGAAAACGAGCCTAATGTAATATTTATCGACAGCTGTGACTGAACGAACATTAATTGTGTGCCGATCGTATCCGAATAACGTAATTGACTTTTGTTTCGACCGTTCAATTTGATATTCAGTTTGTATTATTATTATCTAAAAAAAAAAAGAACTTAAATAATTATTATTAATTGTTATTACGACTGGCGGCTTTGTTGCCGTTGTCGATAAAAATTAAAACTTACTAAAAAGACACGTATCCGATCCGAACTGTCCGGCAACGTATAACGTTTCAAGCGTTGTAACGCTAGTTTTAACGATAAATGTGTTTAGCTGTGTAAGATTTGTTTAATTTAAGGAAAACTATAATAATAAGTAATATATTGGATAATTGCATTAAACATTATTCGAAGGAGAAACGTATTTGTATAACGATGCGGATGATGGATTTTTTTTTTTTGTTTGTTTCTGTTTTTAATCGCTTTGTTTTTTCGAAATATGTGTCTAATATTAAGTTTAATACGTGTAAGTAATGTTTTTTTTTAACCGTAAGACGATTGCTTAATCTTAAGTGTACCGTATAAGTCTTTCTAACGATAAGTGAACGTTTTTAATTTATAACAATAGTAATAAAAAATTTTGTTTTTTAAGTATTCGTTTGAGAAAAAAAACATTTTTTTTTTTTTTTTTATGGAAAGTAATAAATGAAAAGAAAAGTACGGTTATAGAATTATTATTTTATTAATAACATATAGCGGAATAATAATAATAATATTAATAATAATAGTAATAATAACGACGACGAAGGTGAACGAACGTCGAGTAGCGTTTCTATAAAAAATTTGTGGTTCTTTAAAAGAGGAATAAAAGAAAGAAAGAAGTGATATTTTGTTTTGTTTATTTTTAATTGTTTTATATATGTTATGTATTAACATCCAAAGCATGTTGCAACGTTCGACTCGTCGTCTGTGTTTAACAACGTCGCTTTTGTATTATTATTATTATTGTTATTATTAAACATTATTATAAATGTGACTGATCATTTATTGTTATGTGTAAAAGGCTAAACGATAAATATAATATAATAATAATAATAATATTGGTAAAAAAATATTTATATAATATTATTTTATAATATTTTAACGTAAGTCTTGCCGTAACATTTTTATTTTGTATTATTTATATTATTGTATATGTTATAGTTTATAATGACTATTCATTTTTTTTTTCAATCTGGCAAAAGAAATCCTTTTTCATCGGTGAATTCTAATTCTAATTATTTTTACTAAATTTTTAAATAGTTTTTTTTTTTGTATATTATTTTACAAAAAAAAAACATTAATTATAATTTTTTCCTCTTAAAGTTTAGGTTTTGTTTAAAATTTTGTGTTCTTTGTGTTTTTTTTCTTGTATTGGGTTTGATCGATTTTTTTGGCGTTGTTGCATTTTAACGATAAGTTATAATATAATATATATTATATTATTGATATTATTATTATTATTATTATTATTATTATTATTATTACATTAAACATTAAGTATAAAAAAATGAAACTGTTGTTTAGGAGGTTTTTATTCTTCAATCTGCGACAAGTACCACTGCAAAAGTAGTGGCGCAGTGCTGCCAACATATTATTTCTTTTAAACACTGTTATCAATACTAAATTAAATGAGTGATAAGGTTTTAACAAAAATTTTTTTAAAAATTCCAATTGACAACAAATATCGATTGACCATTGTTGGTCAGCAACACTAAGCCACAGTCTATTTCATACACAGATAACTCGCTGGACATGTAAACAAAAACCTGAAAACCAAATCAGTGTGACCACATAGCAAGAAAAAAAATACATAATTTTAACAGAAGCCTCGTAAACAATTTTGTAAATTATAATATAATATTGGTACAAAATTTTCATGAGCTATGTATGAGATTTTTTACACAAAAATACCTTATTAACCTTAATACCAAATTGAACTGCCAAATAACTTCCTTCAAATCCAAAAACAAACATTATTAAAAGACTATCGGTTAACATAACCAAAAAAAAAAATATCTTATCAAGGTCTAAGAGTGTAAGGTAATATAGATGCCTATTATTTGATAAGAGTAAATAAAACACACTTTTGACCAAATCTGGACATTTTGGTTTAAACAACGAATCAAAAGTAACAATAATTCTAAAATTATGAGTTATATGAAAAAGGTACCTATATAATATTTATAATAATTATGATTTAATCGCTAATGGCTTTAAAACTGTGTAACAAATCAACGACAACAAATATTGTCTCTGGCATTAAAATTACACTGACAACACATTCAATTCGCAATATTCCATACAGGTAAGTGCAAATCTTATCTCATAATAATAAGATATCAATTTAGTTTTGAATCCTAACCTATAGAGTACAAGGCAGACTGATTTTTCCAACAGTAAAATAACAGTTAATGCACAATACGTTTCCATATTATCTTCTATTATTGGTTTCTAATCATATTTTTGTTAGCCAATTATCTAAATTATAATTAATCTATTTAAATAATAACGCCCAGTCTACAAATATTCATGTTGGTTTGAAAATTAAAACGTAAAGTTGTCGATTGTGCCTTTTGCTTGTTTCTGTATGTTTGAAAAATAATGTTTAATTAAAAATCCAACTCTTATGCCTCTGTCATTTATTTTTCACTATACAAATGTTACAAACTCGTACTGTATGTTGAATTTGAAAACATTCGAACGCGTACTCGAAGTATGCAACTCTTTTAATTTCAATAGATTCAGTTAAGTTGTACAGACAGTTTTTTTAAGCGTAGTTTTTGGCGCTGAAAGTAACGTTGTTGTTGTTGTTGGCACTCCTGGTCGGTTGGCACCACTGCGGCGCCGCCGAGCCGGCACCCTGTCGTCGCCTGACGTTGACAGCGGCCGTCCTCTTGCGGTGCACTTTTGAATGTTTGGCCAAGTGGTCGGACCTGGAAAACCGTTTGTCGCACGTTTTGCAGCCGTACGGTTTGATGCCTGAATGCGAACGACAGTGCCTGGACAGTTCGTCGGACCTGGAGAACTTCCAGGCGCATCCAGGCCACATGCAGTGATAGGGTTTCTCGCCGCTGTGCCTCCTCATGTGTACCTATTTTTTGGGGAGGAAAAAAATTCTTCAATCCAATAAAAGAACACCGAATTGGACAGCTGATTTTCTGTCCCTTATCAATAACCTTTTATCAGTCATCCATGAGTTATCAATATTCCCTTATCACCACCCCGACCCCACTTTTATGCGTAGGTATATAGCAACACCGTCCACCCCCATATCAGTTTCATCGAAATTGTATTTTTACCCTTATCCCTATCCTACTATTACTATCCTATTACCCTATATTACTATATTGTACTACTCGTTCTTCTGATCAGTTTATTCTCTTATCGAGCACCTGTTATCAGCCGATTCCCTTATCAATAGTTTTCTTATCACTTATCACACACTCCAATTGTGTTACAATTGCAATTTTTTTTTTTACATTACCTTGAGATGTGAAGGTTTGGCGTACGATTTATCGCAATTCGGGTACAGGCACGTCAGTGGTAGTTTGCTGTCGGTCTTAACCGAATCCGTCTTGGTCGGTGTGTCCATGATACGGCAGTGCAGTTGTTGTGGTTTCTCGCCGCCATACACATCGTCTTGACAGTGGTCACCGCACATCAACAGTTGGTCGGTAGTCAGGGCCAGCAGAGTGTCCAGTCCGGGGTCGTCCACGTACATTGTCGGGTCGTCCCAAAAAGTTTCGCTCGGGTCGTCAATCTGAAATTGCTAAACGAATTTTCGACAATAGTGTGAGACTTCTATTACATATACAAAGGATCTTCCAGTTCAGTCGGATTTAAAAAAGATAAGTTCATCGAAATGTAATGCCCAACTAACGTGGATTGAATCTGATTTCTTATCACTAATCTCTTATCAGCTGTTTTCTATCACGTGACCGATTTCGTGACGCGATAACGTCCATGCAAATTTTGGAATCTTGTGTAATTTATTTCGGTGAAATATTTCAATAATTTGTTCGTAAACTATTTCAAAACTAGTTTCTATACTACGACCACGGTGTCTATGATGATTATTGATTACACCAAAAAAAAAACCATACCTTGTAAATATAATATAAGTATATTAAGCCTACCCCTTAAGAAAATTTCTATTGATATTTAGTCTAATCTATTTAGTCGGACATTTTATATCTTAAATAATTCACACGAATAAGCCAAATAATTAACATGTAAATAAAATATAATATGTAGTTTAATAATTATAAAAATTATTTTATTCCCTTTTGTTTTGTAATACTTAAGTCTATCTATTTAATTTACATATTATACATAGTATATTTATTATACATAGGTAATTTGTATTAAATATGTTAAGCCTATGGCGCAGTAACCGTTAACGTTGTACAAGCACATATTTCACAAATATCACATGTTTTTAAAATCGCCATTTGCACTAGACAGACTAGCATTCAGTCATTACATGTGGTGTATGTCAACCGTTATTCACGGTTTAAATATTCCAAAAATATCATAACGTTATCATAATTGTATTTGATATTATTATTATGATGATAGATAAGCTGTTATTAATAGCCAAACGCGATGCGAGGTCAGACGCGGTGACCATATTATAATATTATATCAACTATATTCGTTTTTTATTTTATCCCTCGGGACAAACTCTGTGCTACATTAAATTACGACAACAATATTATATTTTTATACCATTAAAGAAAACAAATACTTTTAGGACAAGGTCGATAAAGATAATACTTTTAATTGGTCCAAATATTATTCAAACTAGGTTTGTGATTGGCAAACATAAAATATTTGAATCGCTTACACAAGAAAGGGAATGTGTCAAAAACCTGAAAAATCCAAAACCTTTTCTGTACAAAGACAAACCATACAAAAATGTTTTTAAAAATAATATTTTTCTGGTTTTCAAAAGAGACGCTGGGGGTGAACTTTTTAAACGTTTGTCCCAATAAAGAATGTTCCTTTTAGGTAATATATTTTCTGATCTTATGATTTGATATATTAAGAAATGAGTTCAGCGGTACTATAATAAATTATCACGCTTCTACAAATCTATCTTTGAAATTTCCCTAGCACGTCAAGTTCCCGATAAAGTTGGAAAAACCCAATATTACAACAACAAAAAAAAGAGGGCTCGATCAAATTGAACGGCGATAAAAAAAAAAATCTAAAATAATAAATGAATCATTTAAAATAGTATAGTATAATCTGTTTATTGGTTGTTAAACGTTGAAAATACTAAAAAATTCTAAAACTCAAATTTAAAGTTACCGACTAAGGTTAGGTTTGATAACGGCTATCACTTTTGTGTTCAATGATAGCACTTGACGGGTTGTAAGCAAAATATTTCAGGTAGGTAACTAACAATAATTACTAAACCAAATGTATGTATTTCTTTTTTTTGCATTTTTAGTCATTATATTTTAATACGCACGCGGTTTACCATTGTTTTTAAACAACAAACGATTGTGCTATATGATTTTTATGTGGAAATTATTAACTGGGTTATTCCAACAATCTATCGGACAGATCTTTGGGGGAAACCCCATCGGACATTTTTATTTACAAAACCTCGTTATCCCCTAAGATTTAGGTCGATGTTTTGTACACCGACAACGGTAAGAGTATAAATAAATAATACAACAATACAAATGGTATCCACTTACCTCGAACGGGACCATTTCGGATGCTTCGGTGGTTCGTCGACGGATCACAATGACGACCGACGAGGGACTTTGCTGAAACCGGCTGGCCCGACAGCAGCGACCGGTTCGCTTATCGATAGGATTCTATTTTATCCTAAAATACACAAACACACACACACAAGATCCCGAGGGAATCGCCTGTACCAACACCGTAATTAGTACCGACGCGATAAAGGCATAGCTGTTGAAACGGTTTGTGTGTGTTTTTTTTTCAATGGAATTAATAATGTAAAAAATGAGCTAAACAACGGTTTTTTAATACATAATAAATATCGACTAAATTAAACCGTAAGACTATTAATATATATTTTTATTTCATTTGGTTATCCTCAATTTTTATTTGGAAGTGGTGCTTAGGTTAGGTTCGGTTAAAGTGGAGATAAGATGGTGATAAGAAAAAATCCCTGGACAACTGATAAGAGATTTATAATTAAAATATTTTCATTCAAAAGCATAAAGCTGTAATGAAAATAATTGCTAGTCGACGTCCGGTTTTGAAAATAACTGCATTTTGGGTGATAACGTTTAATTACACTGAGTAAGTATACAAATAACATTATATTACAATCTGTCTCACCCCAGTCTTGACTCGAGGAGTGTTTATTTAAAACTTTCAATCGACCAATCAAAATATGTGTTCGCTAGATTATTTTGCTTTTTACAAGCATATCTCTCACACTGGTAAGTAGATATTTAACTTTTAAAAGTCACTCATTGAAATAAAACAACAATAGGATTCGATTTGAAACTTTTGCCATTAAAACAATAGTTTCCAAGAAACATACTATAACAACTATGAATAACCCTGTACAAAAAAATCACATACGAGTATAAGGCCTTCGGTTCAGTAAAAATTAATTATCTACATAATATACCACATACCATATATTTTACAATTATAATTCTGTAATAGTTTTTTAAATAAATACCAGGGTAGAAAAATTCAAAGTATAATTAATTAAATATTGTTGTGGTTATTTTTTCCATAAATCAATTATGCCAACTGAATATCAATTGGCTCCCTTTTGCAGTGTTGCCAATTGACCAAGTGGCTCTACAATGATATTTCTGTGGCCTTTGGGTAACGGTAAACTAAACTTGGTACTTTTAGGAAAACGTAAATAAAATTGAAAATCTACCGAAAAATTGGTTTTGTTATAATTTATGTGTTGGAAAAAACATATTAACTATTTAATTTATTATTACTGAACTATATTGATAAATCAAAGGAAAAATAAAAAAAATAGTTAACTTAAATACATTGTAATGAGCATTAAATACAACATTGAGCCAACGAGTTAACAAAATAACACACCAATGTAGTAAAATACACTGGTAAATTGACTCAGATAATAGTTTGTGTTTATTATACTTCATTTTTTTTCGATTTCACACACAATTTTATACAATTATTAAGAATAATTATCGAGTATTTTAAATTTCGAAAGATAGGTACGACACGACGGTCGTTGAAAATCTTAAACTATTTGTACTATTATAATATATTAAATAGATTATTACTCTAACGTGGACGGCGGAGCTTAGATTAATTAAACATATACCGTTAATTAATTTAAGTACATACAATATAGTTATGTATATATTTAAATAGTTATTATTATGGTCAAATAGATGATGACGGTATAACTTTGTAAATATTGTGCACAAAAAAAAAATAGGTATACATCTCACCGACCTTTTAATAAACACCTTGCGAAGCAATGTTAAAAATAAAATTGATATAACGCTTAAGAATCGAAATAAAAATAATTAATAATAACAATATAATATTATATGGATAAGCGACACCACTCCGAGACGATAAGTTGTATAATATAATAAGTGTATGATAGTGATAATAATAATAATAATAATAACAATAATAATACAATATGAACTATGTACAGTTAATAATAATATTGTGATGTGTACCGTCTAGTGGAATATAATGCAATTTGTGTACCTTTATATTGGCCAATATTGTTTACAGTGTATAATTACTGTATTTACTCGACGGTGCAACGTGGATGGAAATGCTTTATAAAAAAATGTTTAAAAAAAAATTGGGATTTAGTAATTTGGAACCAGCGATCCGGCAAACGGTACGTTGGTAAAGGAGCTGGTGGACATGTCCAAAAGAAACCGGAGCACGTCGAACAGCCTGATGGCCACCCAAATTACAAACAGGTAGAACAGACCTTGGGTGAAACAGTTCAGCCAGTACAATCTGAAATCAAACGACTAATTATCCGAGAAAAATAATCAAATAAATCAATATTTCCCCCCTAGGAAGGTATCATACGTTGGATCTATAATGAGGTAAGATAATCTATTTGAAGGTAATCTGTGTTACTATTTTCCGCCATCTTTATTGGAATTGGAACCTTATCACGTGTCGATAACTGTTTTGAACAACTACAAGTTAAGTTGGTAGCACAGATGTGTATGTTATTTATACACATATAAATCCCACAAAAATGGCCGACGTCGATTTCAGTTCTTATCAATAGTTAGCAATCCAGTTTGTCATTGTCTTAACAACCGTCTCTTATCATTTCCAATCCTCAGCCCATCTCCACAGTTATCACTATTCCGTTCCCTCCATATCCCTTCAATTTGTTCACTTTTATTCACAGGCTTTAAGTCCTAAAACTATCCCTAAAAAGCAAAACTAAAGAAAATGTTTGACCCCCGTTGGGCAAAATCCTTAACGTTTGTATTATATTTACAATATAAGTTGAGAACAATAAACCGGTCAAATGGAAATTTATACATTTTTTGGCTTTATTGTGTAAAATTTAAAACACATATCTCTAGATAAATATTTTACTATTGTCTAGTATTGTAAAATATTAGAAAGTAAAATGTCTCTTAATCGAGCAATATTTCCCTCAAAGCAACGACATTGGACCACGAACTCTTGTTTTGAATCTTTTATCAGCTGGTCTCCCTTATCAATAGTTTTTATCAGCTGATTCTCTTATCAATAATCTCGTCAGTTATTCTGGAAAAATTAGTTTACCTTTATTTCCATCCCGTCCCCACCCGACCCACACCACTTACCATACTATCCCATCCCCATTTCTTGTTAGAGAAAATATTCATAACGTTTTACATAAGAGTTTGTTTGTATAGCTTACAATTTCAAATGATATCTCGCCCTGTCCAAGTTGGACAACGGCTCTTTCATGCAATACTGGCGGGCGCCCAGCAACAGTTTGACGCAGTAGTCTTCGATGTCGATTTTGATGTTCTGTATGTAGAATAAGTCTTTGTCCCGCTCGTTCATATAGCCCAGCAGTGATTTGGTGTTTTCGATTTTGAAGTCCCAGTCGCGCATCGTGAAATACTGCAACACTTCCATGCCGACCGCTATGCGTTTCTGCACTCGGACCATGCTGTTGTAAAGGGAAAGTGGAAAAAAAAGAATGAATAAAAAATAAAGGGAATATTTTATTTATGAGGTGCAAACCGTACAATGTCTTTTGCCGGGCCAAAACCATAATCCCGTCGATCAACAGGGCAGGGACCATTTGCAGCCAGAAAACGATGAAGTAGTGCAACAGCTTGTTGGTCCTGATCGATCCGTTTGGATACCAAAGACCGGCGTCGAACGGATACTCATAACAGTACCGTTTGCCCTTGGCCAACACACCGCCCCACGTGATCCGAACGATGTCCCCTTTGGTTATGTTGTACACCGGGATGGGTTGTTCGGGGTCGAGTCTGGGAACGAACGAAATCATCAGTTTCAGAGCTGGCATTTAAAACATAAAATGCACAAATCTGCTCGTCTCCAATGGAGAAACATAAGAATCTTCAATTTTGAGAGCTTTATGGCGCCCACCTACTCAGGATGAGTGATCAAGAGAAACGATAAGAGATAAGGAGAGGTGATAGTTGCCAATACGTTGTAGATCAACGAATCTTATTGAACTCTTTGAACACCTAAGAGGTAAGCTAATTATGTTTACTTGGTGCTTCCTCTTCTCCAAGCGATCGACACCAAAGCGTTGATGGCTATGTCCACCGGCACTACTTCGGCCTCGTAGTTCTCTCCGCACAACATGGATCGGATCACTCCTTTGCCGGCGGCCACGATCACCCCGACAGGTCCATTCAGGCTGTCAACCCATCCGGGAAACGGGTCCTTGTAAGATGGAGTGACTTAAGTGTGGGGAACAAAAACAAATACCTTTTATAAGTAATACATAGTTTAAAAGCAACCGATTGCATCGCATTCATACCTACCCCTCCAAACCTTATCTCCCTCCCCATACACAACCCCATTCTCGCCTAAACACCACCCCATCGCCGTTCCCTTCCCATCACGTATCCACATCCACATTAAGTAAAACAAATTAACTTAAGAAAACAAACAATGTTGTCGTCTCCGGTTAAAATATAAGATCTCCAAAATTTACTCTAAATTTTGATAAAATTCAATCTTCAGGTTAGATTTTAATTATCATTTATCAGTTAATTTTCAACCGTTACCTCACCCCCCCCCTCTTTATATAACACCTTATTTTAACGGGATTTCTTATTTAAAGGCGGCCGGTATTCCAATTATGTGAATAAAATCGTATCATACTGACCTATTGACGGGCGAGCGATGGCTATGGGTAATATCTTGGCGTATTCGCCCACCAGAGCTTCGGCCAACCTCTTCGAATAAGTATAACAGTTGGGATGAGGGCCCAGTAATCTGTAAAAAATAAAATTAAACAAATTATCAACTAGAAAAGTACAAATATTTTATAATATAATATATATTTAATGGTATTTGTAATTTATTTTGTAGCCATTCAGCATAAACCAATTTGTTCTGTCAGAACAAAGTGTGATTTATTTTACCTATAAATTAATTTAAATAATAATAGTTTTGCCCCCTTAGGAAATAACGACGTTGTTAGGTAAGTGAACAAATTGCAGCGTGCAAAACAATTCATTAAGATTGATGCGAGCTATTTCCGTCGCGCCTTCAATCATTATATTTTATTGATCGTCGATTTGTGACGGCCAAACTGTGTTTATTTCGGTGTCATTGAGCTGAAGGACAAAGTTATACTTATCCCCAGCGATCGGTATGGAATTATCTCATCGGCTCAAAGCAAACAATCACTGAACAATCACAAACTACAATGCCAATTACCTATTGTCCTATCGAAAGAAATACTATATCCGACCATTTTAACACATTTTTTGTTTCAATTCTCTATTAAACACCCCTTTGGTATTCCTAATGGTTCCCAATGGTTAATCCTTTAGATGCGCCGATGACAGGAGTGCTCCAGGAAAGGGCACCATGTGAATTAGAAGAACAATGGGAATTCCGTGGTTGTCTCCCAGCTTGGTCAGGTGAAATTCTCTTACACTGATCCTGTTATACTCAAACATTTCTCTATGCTATTTAGCACTTGCTCTCCAAGCCAAAACGGGTTGTACTTGGCGTGGACCTAATAAATTCCTAATAGGTACTATTGTACCAATCGATGCAAATTTCCCTTGTCAACAGTACGGATTTGTCATCATAAAACCGTGATTGGTACCCAATGTGGGTCACGGCTCAGGCTGCACCAACTATTTATAATTACTCTCCATGACGGATGGGTATTTTAGTTTGTTTAAGGTCTGAAAATCAAATTGAAGGAAGATATAGCGTTTTTTTTCTTCAAAAACCTGTAGGTAAACTCTTTTTTATTACGAAAAACCTCTCAAAAAAGAGAGGGATATGGTAAGAATACCATATATGTTTACTGCAACGACTTTGGCGCAAGCCTTAGGGTATTTCTTTGGATGATTCATGATGATAATTTTTTGGATTGATTCCAAAAAAAAAAACAACAAATTGCTAATCACGGTAGCTCTCAAGATGATATTCGATTAGTGTTTAAGTCGTTTATCATCATATAAACAGTCACAGACGCCAAACAAACACCACACCGTACAGTAGTTTGTCTGCTGACAAATATTTTTCAAATGCCCCAGGGGTTCCGGTATTGAGTGTTAAGTTCTCACTGTCGAATTGATTACACGACACACTCTAAGTCTCGACATCGAACAATAATAACACTGATGGTCACAAACGGCTTGACGTCCGAGTGTATTGTTTTTTAATTGCCAAAATCGATTACGCTGTTATTGCGATGCCAAGAATACATTTTTTTTTTCATATGAAAGATATTTAGAATCGCATGAAAGTTTAGCGAAAATTAGCTGTAAAAAGGTCAAATAGTTGAGTTGAAATTTGTATAGACTTTGCGATAAACGTATGGAAGCTGGCAACAAGAGGTATTGTGGGCAGTTCTAAGGAAGACTAGTGTCCTGAGAATAAAAGACGCAACAGGGACAGGTCAGATGAGCCAGTTGGGTAGTAAAAATCAAATCAGCTTAAATGAAAATGTTGAGACGTGGGATTGACATGGAAAGGTAAACTATTATAAGAGCAACAGACACTAGTCATCGAGATGATTTGGTCTCGTTGAAAGAAGCGAAGAAACGAAAAATAAAACAGATAATAGAGAGATTACTTTAGGAATCACTTTTTCTCACACCAAGACGAATGCAAGTTTGTCTATATTTTTATTGACTTCAGTAGGTCTTATGGCGAGTTTGTTGACAATTTGGGTCACACGGCATGACGCAAATCTAACCTAAAATACTAACGGAACCTACTTGATAATGAAAAGTAACGTCCATTTGCGGATGCTGACAGCTGATAAGGGATAAAAGATAAGATAATATGTCACGCAAAATGTGGGGTTTCCATTGTTTTAGATAAAAAAGTATCAAATAAAGTCCTTATTATTTTTAATGATCAAAAATAATTATATTTTATATTTAGTTGAAAAAAAACTATTTCGAGGGCTAATATTGAGGAATGACTGTTTAAACTATATAATGGTGACCTACATATTGATGTACACCGTTTGACTTTTAACAGTTACCATTTTAAGAACTACATTTTAAAACGATTTTGTTTTTTAACTAAAAACTAAATATAAATTTGTTATCATTTGTTAAAAGCACCAGATCTAAAGATTTTATCGGACACTATTTTAGCTTACATAATTGTGTCGTTTAAATAAATCACTGTAACTTTAAATTCGGCTGATCCTGTATAATATTATCTACAACTGTTGAAAAATATGCCCGGAAGACAATATACATAATAATATGATCTTGCAGATACAATTGCTGTGATGTAATATATTTTTATGATTTTTTGATAGTCTCCGCTCGGTCGTTAATTACACATCTGTTGCACGTTGTGCATATGCATATTTCCAATGTGTTTGAAATAGAATAACAAATTATCGGTTGCTTGGTTTTCGTTATGGCCAAAAATAACATACTACAACTATTACTTAGAATTTCACTAGAAACCAGTTTCCGACCTATGACCACGCCTACCAACCGAATGTAAACATTATGCCTGAACACCGTATAACGGTTGCGCACATTTTTAACTAATTAAAATTAAAAAAATAATAATAACCGCGTTTCACTCGAAACGTATAAATTGAAGGGTCCAGTGCAAGTCCATTTTGGTAAGCTGTCAGAGGTTTTCAGCTACCCATCAGTGTTATCTGTTATATTGGTATACCTCGGTAACAACGAAAATATCAATAATATTATGTAGGTCGAAAATCAAGAATTACCACCATTCTCATCGACGAATGATATTGGAACATTTCTTATCAGCTATTCTCTTATCAATAATATTTTATCAGGTTCTAGGGAATTGTCGATATCTCCTAATCACCACCCCGTCCCCACCTCGTCCATACTTACCAGTTACCACTATACAGTACTTTCCCTTCTCTATTTATAAAAAAAACTTACCTGGGTGTTATCATCTCCAAAGTGTAATCGTCCATCCATTCGACGGCTCTCATAACGTCATTGGGATTGGCCGGCGACGGGTACACTGTCTCTTCGAGCGAGTCGTACTCGCAGTGGCAAAAAGCCGTAGACAAATGAACGAAAGCCTGTGAAAAATAAAACCCCCTTAAATTTTTATAATTCGAAATTTTTAAATTTTGCACTTACCACCAACTTCTTCATTTCCACGGCCAAGTCTAGCACGTACTTGGTTCCGGTGGTGTTCTGTCTGACCGCATCCTTTAGACCGGCTTCCAGACGCAACGAAGCTGCTCCGTTAAAGACAACCGATACTTCGTTGATGATCTTTTGCTTGTCCAGGTCCGATAAACCCAGTCCGGGCAAGCTTAAGTCTCCCTCGATGGCCGACATCTTCTTCAGACTTCCCGGACATTCTTGACGAACGCGTTCGAATACCTTGGTTGAAAAAAAAACGAATTATAAGAACATTTCAAATATCACATAAATCCGTGAGTTTACACAATTTACCTAATATGTTATAATAAGGATGAATGATAAGGAGTGATAAGAGATCAGGAAATGTGATAAGAGATTAGAAGGGGTGATATGGAGGCAGATAGACCAATACTTTGTAGGTCAACAAATTGACATTAGGTTGACAATTGAAAATCATAGCTACAATTTTACTAAACCGTAAAAATAATATATTATGATTTTATAAGTCACTCAACTGCAAGTTTCCTTATTTGTTCCACTCTGGCGGCTGGTGTGAAACCGCGTTTGGGCCGGCAAAGTATGTAAATGTTTTTGATGTCGGGGCAGGATCTGAGCAATTTTTCAATTAGCACTTTGCCCATGTAACCGGTACCTCCGGTGATGAACACCGACCGGCCGCTGAACCATTCCACTATACCGTCTTCAGCCATTTTTCACCTGAAACAAATTCATACAACAATAATTAATAAGAAATTCTCAAAAACAGATCTTAAGATGGGTTTAACAAAAGTAAAGTGTCCTGTAACGAATAATCTAAATGAAATTGTTGATATGAGCCTTTCTCACCAGTTTGGTTTGAAATTTAAATACAGTTAAACCTATAGTTTTAGCATGGTTAAACTATACTAAACTATTAAGTAAACTAGTGAAAAAAATGAAAAGTTAGGAAAGTTAAATAGGAAAGTTGCATTTTACTCAAAATTTAAGCTTCGAGGCCATTTTTTAATAATTTTTATAATATTTTGTAAAACATTATTAAAAGATTTTTAGGTCATTAGGTTCCAAGCTCTAACTAGTTTTTAATGAAAAACCAAAAAAAGGTGTCATCTCAACTGCGTTTTAACTTGTAAGAAATAAAAATTCACTTTCAACAGGACTACTTGTCGAACGTCACTACAACGGCCTTGGCCCACGACGAATCTAGTACTTGGGTAAACACAATATTGTTTTAGACATTTTTTTTATAATAAATAAACTTAAGATGATATTACATCAGATATTGTATTATCAAAGACGCCAACAGAGTCGTGGATTATTATGTAAGACTGTCTATACGGCAGCCATAGACGACATATTAGCAGTATAATCTATAAATTATTATTTAAAACTTTAAGAGTTTGTAATAAATAGCATAACAATATTAATACAGACATCATTTTTTCGTTATGTTTTTGATAAATAGAAAAAAAAGTCTAAAAACTAACCTCGTCATAATTTTAAATCAGGTAAATAGATAATTTTATTATTTTTAAATTATATTAATAAAAAGTTATATATTAAAACAACCCGCTACCAGGAGGATCCAGGAGAACACAATAATGTAAGTATTCTAAGTATCTTAAGTATACAACATAAAAAATTTGATTATTTTTAAAGGAAAATCGAGGAAATCCCGTATAATTGATAAGATAATGTAGATAAAGGTGATAAGATTCTATGATTGATAAGATAATTGATAAGAGACAACAACAACAAAATTACAGAAAGCCAGCTGATCTGTTCCAGTTAGGTATTTAGGTAGATATTTCTTTCTTCTCTCTATATCAATTAAGTATTACCCTATCAGCTATTTTTAGTACAATATGCTTTATTATAATATTTCTAATCTAGTCTAATTTTGATTGGATAACCCTACAAGTAGACCCTTCTGACAATTCCGTACTTTCCATAGGCTTTCCGTTCGATTAATCCGGAACTAATTTTGCGTTTTTCGCCGATCTTTTTCCGTTAAGATCATACCAATCGTTTCTGGACCTTGGCCAGTACCTACACGGTCTATTCTCTGCCAACCGACACTGATGAGTGCATAACTCTCACCGTTAACCACCGTTGTTCTACGCCACACGGGATAAATGCCTGTAGCACTCTGTTCACGGCCGCTCATAAAAAACCAAAACCCATCAAACAACAGTAGGTTGCTATTCGATATTAACATTTCATTACACCGCCAACGTTGAAACAGGCGTCCATAGCTATTAACAATCTATTAATTTCCCCGGCTCATCCCATCGCCACACTCTCTCAATGTGGATGTACATAAATTGTCATAACCTCTCATATTAAGTAGGTAGAGGTACCCAACCTAACGTCATAGGTGTTCTACGATTATAACAATTACAGTGCACACAGACACAATGGAGTGTTATTGAGAAGACTACTTAATCGTCCCAATCGCGCGGTTCGACATGACTAGGGAAATCAATTAGGCGGGTATAAATCTGTAATTGTTTTTCAAGACGGTACTGGACTGTGTTGGATATTGGATACGGTGATTTGTACAACACATGACGTTACTGGTAGGCAATGTGCAATGTACCATGTTGATAAGACTATGACGATGATAATGACGACGACGTAGGTATCGCCTTCGTGTAATGTGTTTGAGAATACTATTACTATACGTTTGACCTTACCGCCAATAAACCGAACAATTAGTCTGTCAAATTAGCAATAAACACTGTCCACACTGGCCGTTATAATTTGTATAACGCGTCATGACGCCTCATCTCTTTATTGTTTTGCGTTGTTATCACAAGGACACGATCTCTGCCGTATAAACAACAATACCTAATAATTGTGTATTACACACATAATATAATAAATAGGTATATTATACTCGTCTGAGAATGTTGTGTAAAGTAATCCGGTAGTTGTGCGCTAGACAGGCGTTATTAATAGAGCACATAACATAAAAAAAAAATATATATATATGACCCACTTGAGAGTTTTTGTGTTTTTTGTTTAACGAACACGTTGTAAAAAAAAATACTAATTAAGTACGTCCGGTAATAAATAATATTATAATTTAATATTACAAATAGGCAAACATAACTGGTAGATCTTAGTAGTGTTTGTGTGTGTGCTTGTGTTGTAACCGCGGACATAAGTGTTATTATAGGTAACCGCGGTAACCCAACCAATTTAAAAAGCGGTTAGTAAAATCGATATGCATTGGCGCGCAAATTCAAATTTGCCTTTTTCGAACATTATTAGGTGAGCTGTGAGCTTACTGCCTAGATTAACTGCTTTGTACAATATTAAGGAGATTTTTTTAACTATGTTCTTATTATTTTGGTGTTGGTGTTAAACTAAAGTGTAATTTTTCGCTGCATCTTAGAACCTAGTGCCAATCTAAAAAAACTAATAACACTTTTGAAATTAGCGCATAGTCCTTATGGTTTGGTTTCTAAGGCAACAAATGTGCAACAAGAAAAAAGTTTTATAAATTATAAATTAGCTGTCAAAAGAAGAATTCGACTTAAATTACTATTAAAAAAATCTCTACACTGCTAGTGTTATCGATGCATAACGTATGATGAATAACAGCGCATTCATCTCATATAGTGCTGACAAATATTTGCAAACTATAGTGAAACATTTAGCTCTAAACAATATATTTATCATTATTATTATTATTAGGTATTATTAGCAAACCACGTCGGCGTCCAATGACAGACTTTCACGGCTATTAATCATCACAAAATCCCTCGTTCCATTCAAACAGTAATCTTGCTTGTAGTTAATTTTTTGGCTGGAGCTACCTCGATAAAACATTTAACACAGATTAAATAAATCTGAATATTAACTAATGATCACATTTTTATTTAGCCAATCGAATAACATATTTTTTCTACGTGCAAATACATTTTTATTGATTCAACAATATAAATATATATATTTAAAAAATAAAATATCTAAAAAACGACATTTAAGCTATGCAAATAGTTATTCGAATTGGATTTGATTAAGCTGTACACAGTAGTTGATAAGTTAGAAAAAATTACACAAGGTACAGTGTGACCAACTTTCCTTTTTTTTTTTTAATTAAACCTTATCGACTACTGTGAACAGTTTGGTTCATCCAATATTCAAATTAAGCCCACGTTTAAATCTATTAAAAGAAAACTAAACGACATGTTCGTTATCTATTTACGAATAAGATTAAAAATACTATTTTGTATTTTGTGCTTTAAAATCTTAATACTGGATTTTCACCATCTCCGGACATAATTTGTTAACATCATGTCACACTTGTCGCCGCCTAATATTTGGTAAGGTATAACGTCACTCGACTGTCGGGGCCCAAAGCGTCGATGACGATAATAATAGTAATAATAATATGTAATAGCACACCCGGCGACATTATTATACTATTATTATTAATTACGTTTTAACACAATTGCCTTGGGACCGTTATAAGGTCACAGCCTGAAGCATTTGTATCGTATTCACAAGCACATACAGAGTGATCAATATAGCGAGAGACACTCAATTTTCTGAAAATATTTGCAATTTTTTTTCAAAATTGTTCTCAATTTTCTACGAGAAGGGGTGGAGGGAAGTTTTCAGGGTTTGTCTTCAATAAAGTATTTTTTTGGATACGGTTATTGATTTACAAACTCGCTGCATAAACAAAATTGGTATCAACTAGTTTTTCTTTCTTATCATATCTGTTATCAGCTGATTTGTCCTTATCAAACACCATTCTTATCACACAAAACACATCATTATGAAAAACAATACCTATAAAGAAGGGGTGAACTCTTTTAATCTTTGATCCAATTAAGCACCTTTTAGGTATAATCTCTGGTCCATAGACCTGCTGCACGAAGAAATCGGTTCAGCGGTCCAAACAGAAAAATTAAAAGAATCACATGGTGATAAAAACAAAAAAAATACCTCCTGATTCACACTCATTAAAGCTAAACAAAATAGCCAAAGCTCTTTACTTCGACTAAAACTACAATCAGCCTAACCTCACCATTCTTATTGCTGAGTTATCATCTTATTTACCCTTATCAAACTCCATTCTTATCACTAACATATATGCTAAGAGATATGATATAAACGTATTATAATAAAGTCACATTTTTGTAAAAGACGAGTTAAGTATTGTAGGCATATCTAAAGAAGTCAATTATGATGGCAACTCAATACAAGAGTTTTTATGAAACCTTGTCTTTCTCTAATTAGGGTTAATGTGACTTATTGCACCACTATGGTTTTAACCCCCTCATATAGTCCTCTTCGCCAGTTCAACTTAATGGCTGAATATCTGTTATCATCAATATACTTATCAATATCGATTCTTATCACTCAAAAATAAAATACCATCTGAGTAAAAACAATTTATATCTTCTGAGCTCCGCATCGCAATTGCAAATGTTTTCAAAAATTACAAAATCGCAATTAGAGGGTAATACAAGAGTCTGTCGTTAAAACGATCACCCTGTAAATACTTTTTACGACCGACTCGTGTCGCGCAGAGCTAGTTTCGTTTTCAGCGGAATGACGTTATGTGATGAAAAATAACAGCTAATCTCATGATATTATTATTATATGAGATCCGCACGGCGATGGTGTGTAACAAGTAGTTTTGACCGAAGAGAAATCATGGGTGAATGATAATTGCAATACTTACACACACACACACACAC